ATGTGTGTGTGTGTGTGTGTGTGTGTGTGTGTGTGTGTGTGTGTGTGTGTGTGTGTGTACTCACCTCCTCTGTAAAAGGCTGATCCTCCACATCCATTTCAATCAACAATGCCTCTGTCTGTGGTTCTATCTCCCCAGCCTCGCCCAGGCTGCGCGCCAAAGTTCTGGGGACAAAAGGATCCAGGTAAGTAAAGGTCAGAGGTCAGCTTTTTAAAAATAATTTTCGTCAAAGTTTTATGGCACTTGCTGTTGTTATCGATCCAGTCATGGTATTTGCAACACAATTAGGACTGCAAGAGCCGAAGATAAAAGCTTTTGTTTCAGTAAGGTTTTACGGTGTTCCCAATTGCATAAGTTCACATGAGCGCCAGGGTGGTGGATGTCAACAGAGAAGTCCTCACAGGGAATCAGACTTACTCTGCTCGCCTCTCTAGCCTCAACAGCGCACAATCTGCTTCGACTATCAAGGCATCCCGGAAATAGCAGTTCACAAGAGTGTGACAAACATACAAAAGAAGTAGAGGATAAATGACGATAGTCAGGATTAGGAAAGAAAAAGCAGCAGTTCCCTGTTGTAGCTCAGGCACAGTTGTGAGCATAACATCGATGAATCAGCCCATTTACAATTCTACTGTGCATAAGAACATACTAATGTCCCCCCTTTGGGAATGGCCTAAAATCACTTCAGTCAGCAGCATCGCCCTGGGGGGTTAGGCTTCAACCCTGCCTCTGAGTCCAACCCGGGAACGAACTCAGATCTACTGGGTATGACGGGGAAACGCCTAACCGCTACACACCACAGACACTGGTCCTCTAGTCCCAAAAACCAAAAACATATCACGTCTTTTGTAGCCCTGGTCATGCAGGAGTTCACGGCAATGAACGTGCTGATAAGCTAGCCGGCCAGACGGAGATTGGCGGCACCATGAAGCTAGATCCGCCAACAGTCATGGCAGCATTGACAGCATGGTTCAACGACCACAGAGAGAATGAAGGCAGCATTGACAGCTTGGTTCAACGACCACAGAGATGATGAAGG